AACACACACACACACACACACACACACACATACATACACATATATATATACACATATATATATTAATAATAAATGTTACGGTCATATACACTCATACGTTCATACACAATAGAGCTAGATAAATCAATGCCACTGTTCTATATACAGACTTCAACAAGGACCACTTGCAAATCTGACACAAATTCCCCTGAGTATTTCCGTGCTGCTCGTGGTGGTTTTGCCACTTTAGGAAGCTTTGCAGTATGCATTGGTAACCCATTAACTCTTTTAGAGCAAAACATTTAGAAACATTCCTTGCTGTCTTTTTTTTTGGATTTTAAAATAATCAGGGCTGTCTGTCAAGGTGGTCCTTAACTTATGTTGAAGTCGGTATATTTTAAAAAAATGTATGTTATGTTCATATATGCACGAGTACAACTCACACAAGAATACATTGATACGTGATAATAGAGCTAGATAAATCAATGGCACAGTTCTATATATAGCACGTTTGGAGAATGTGGCCGCTGGTCACGTGTTTAGCCTAGCTGACTGTGCCGGTGCGCTCGCACTACCGACTGCTTTTCACAGGTTTGGACTGTGGGTGGTTTGCAGGTGCTCTGGTCTGGTTTGCTCCTTCTTTCCTGTCAAAACATCTATCGTCCTGATCTCTGCTCCTTCTGATCTCTCCTTCTTCTTTTTTGTGTTTGTTACTCTCTTGTAACACCTCTAATGTGGGTGGTTGGGGGGTGCTCTGGTATGATTTGCTTCTTCTTTCCTATCAAACATCTATCGTCCTTATCTCCCCTTCTTCTTTTTTATGTTTGTTACTCTCTTGTAACACCTCTAATCTTCTGGATGACCTTATTGTTTTGCATGTGCCGTAAAAACACTTATTATAGCAACAACAACCACAACAACAACAAAATGCGTTCATTAATGGTTGAGTAAAGGGTGAGTTGATGCAAGAAAAGTTTCTCAGACGTCCTTTTTACAGATTAAAAAATACGTACTGATTACTTTCTGAATTAGGCACCTTTTCACCTGGGTGGTTGACGGGTGCTCTATTGTAGTTTGTTCCCACTTTCCTCCAATCAAACATCTGTCGTCTTTTTATCTCCCCTATTTCTTATTTTATGTTTGTTACTCTCTTGTAACACCTGAATTCTTTGGCACCTACATGTAACGTATATGACTTTATTGTGTTGAAAATGCCGCAAAACTCTCATTTAATCTTAACAAAAAGTTACTTTCATTTGTGGATCCATAAATGAGTGAGTAGGTGCATGGAAAGTTTCTCTGCAATATATATATATATATATATATATATATTCCTTTCACATATATATATTTTTTTGAAATACTGATTGGTCTTTGAGTTCTGGGGGTCTTTTCACCTTACTTTTCGAACAACGTGGGTGGTCAGCGGGTGCTTTGGTTGCAAATGCGTAAAGCTCTTACAAAAATACATTAAATCCCAACAAAACAACAACGAACAAAAAAACGTTCGTTCAACCCTCGTTCAACAACACGTGCTCAGTCATTTGTGAGGGACTATGTACTTTTATCCACACTTTTCAAATCTATTTTTAGACTTTTTTTCTTCTTTTCTCAACTTGTTTTGTTCCTTACTTTTTTTATCTTATGGAGTTGCAAGGGGAGGGGAGCAAAGGGAGGCGATGGGAGAAAGGGGAGGGGAGGTGAGGTGAGGTGAGGGGAGAGAAGGGAGAGGAGGGGAGAAAGGGGTGGGAAGGGGAGGGGAGCAAAGGGAGGCGATGGGAGAAAGGGGAGGGGAGGTGAGGTGAGGTGAGGGGAGAGAAGGGAGAGGAGGGGAGAAAGGGGTGGGAAGGGGAGGGGAGCAAAGGGAGGCGATGGGAGAAAGGGGAGGGGAGG